ATAAATTATTTAACAGATTTATTTTTTAAAATAATATATATTTACCACTATAATTAAATAATTGTCAATAATCACATTAATATTTTCTTCTGTAGTGTTGGGTCTAGGAATTTGGGGTCGCAGGATGGGCAAGAAGATCGATTCGTTTCGACGGACTAGATCTCGTGAGACTATCTGCTCCATTACAGAAAGATCCGATGGTGTGCAACACAATATCAATAATAACAATAATAATAATAATATCAACAATAACGATACTAGTACTAGCAACAATAATATTGACATTCATCAATTAAATAAGATACACTTGGATGAGAGAACGAACAGGAAATTACCGGCAGTTTGTCAACGGTCCCCATCTCCCTTCAAATCATTCTTCATCCGGATGGGTTCCACTGGCATGCTCAACTCGACCAAAAGTAATAGAAGATCTCAAAATATCGAGGAGAGAACCATACCGGACAAAGAAAGCCTGTTCAGAAGCTGTAGTACCAGTCAATTGAACAACAGTCCGACTTACGTGAAGGGAGACGATCCTTCGGAAGGTATAGATCTACAAATAGCCGCTCGAAAGGACAAGACGGTATCTTGCGACAATCTGGCGGGACATCAAGGGAACAATCAAGAGATTTTTGAGGCTCGCGCACTAGGTGATCCTTGCTCCTCCACATATTCGTTGGGTAGTCCTTCGGTAAGCTTCAGCACCTGCGATCTCGAGAAAACGAAAAATGAGTCGTTCATGAGGAAGAGCAGTAGCTGCGACCTGAAGGAAGCGAAAAAGTCCAACTTCCCGTATGCCTTTTTGCGATCGAAACTGTCCGTGTTACCAGAAGAACGTCACGGATCATTGGTCTCCAAGGACGAGAGGCTTTTCAAGACTGTGTCGGAGGAGCACTTCCCGACCTTGCAGATCGAGGACTCTTACATCAACACCACGACCCTCGGACGGAAAAGATCGAGGATTGGAAATGTTAGTAGCTGTGGTCTCGATGCTGCGAGGAATCAAGAGAATATCTCGCGACTGGGTCGGATTTCCTATGCCGAATTCCAAAGGAATTCCACCAGATACGAAGCAGACAGATACAGCCTGAATGCCAGCCGTCTCGAACGAATCGAAGCCGGAGGACTTCAACGGGAGGGCAACAATGTTGGTTGTTACAGCCTGTTTGACGGAAGTCTACTGTCTCTTCGGGAGAACAACGAATTTCGACATAGCGAGGACACTATGCGCGACAAGACAGATTTTGCTGTTGGTAGAATCGAGACCGGAATAATGGAGAATTGCAATGTTGATCTCGACATGATGACCGCTATTAGAAGCAATCGACGGAATTCGGTGTCGAGCTGTGAGCAGAGACTGTCGTCTCACTATGTGAGCTCGAACGAATCCGGCTACGACAGCGATGGACCACGAGGTGAATCCGTAGCGGCATTGGAGAATGAGGGACTGAAATGTAGTTCGGACACTAGCAGCGTCGTGGACTCAGAGGCAGATAAACCCATAAGAAGTTCGACGCCGAGTGAGTGCCAAGATCAGGAAAATGTTCAGACCGCGGGCAGAATCAGGCAGAATTCCGATGAAAACAGGCCGGATGCGATTTCCCGAATGAATTTTGAAGGGATAGATGGTCTCAGGTGGCACCAAAGCGGATCCGGGCGAATGCTGCCAAGTATTCACGGAACGTCTTTCGAAGAGGAAGCCGTGTCACGGCTGGAAGACACTCCTCTTCCAAACTGCGAGGACAGATTGACTCTTCTGTCGGATACGGCGAAGGCGCTGGACGTCTCGTCTCATCGCACGAGGTTGCAGCAGGATAAAACGAGATTTTTGAGTGACATTATCCAGCCGTTAACGAGGGTACGGCGATGTTGCTTGATACAATTGCACAAGAGAGATCCTAAAGACAGTTTGGGGATTCGATTGGCGCAGCAGAGACTAGGAGATTTGCGATACATTGTCGTACAACTCGAAAGCGATGGCATTGCTCATAGGTGAGAGAAACTCATTGCAGATATTTCCAACTTATTACGAATGCACGCTGTAATAAAAATATAGCGTCTCTCTAATTTTTGTAACTTTGAATTATTTGATTTTAAACGATTAACTCTTTGTGAACCAGCGATTCCATTTGGAGTTACCTTCTATTATATTTTGTAAACTGCTCGCTCGATTTTTATGAAACTTGACTTATGGAGTAATTTCATATTGTTTTATTCGAATCTGAGGTCAAAAATAAAGAATTGAAAATGATAAATTCTGTAAGGACAGAATTTCAAGAAAATAATCTGATTATCGTAAAACTCTCAGTTTTAGAAAATTTTTAGTTGCAAACTGACTTTCAAACTGCTTATGAGTTCTGTGAGATTTTCTTTCATTTGAAGTTGTTATTATTCGTTTGAAATTCAACATTTTCAGGCTATTTAAACTCAGCTATACCAAGAATCTTCTAAAATCGAGTTTCATGATATATCAAATTATTTTTCGAAATTTGAATTTCTGAATTCTGAAGTCAGAATTCAGCAACTCCACAAACTCTTAGAAAATTAGGTCTTTTTTAAATCTCTTCGTTAGAAAGAAAACGTCCTCAAAGGATTAATTCTAACAGATTTTCAGCAGATTTTATTTTAAAACTTTGTCTAAGTCTAAAATAATGTTATTGTTTCGATTGCAGAGACGGTAGACTGAGATTGGGTGATGAGATCGTCGAAGTCGAAGGTAAAGAGCTAAAAACGCTGGAAACTCTTGAAGAAGTTCAAGAATTTCTGAAGTCCTTTACCGGTAACACAGTACGATTAACGACGGCATACGAAGAGACGGTGCCGCAAGTATACGAGAATCCACTGCCAACCGTTCCTGGCGAGTACGAGTACCTGGAAAACGCGAAGAATCTGTCCAGCATGTCGTTGATCGACACCGAAGCGAATCACGTTTCTTCATCGGTCGAGAAGAAGAAGAAGAAGAAAACAACTGATGGCGACGCCGAGCCACTTCAGTCGAGAAAGAGGCCCGACTTCCTGCCGCTTTTGTGCTTATCTGAAAATCAAAAGGATACCCGTAGCAGCGTGGAATCTGCTACGGAATTGCAACACTATTTGACAAGACATGTGGCGAAGTTCGAGAAGGGCTACGGCAAACCCAGTTTGGGCTTCAGCGTTGTAGGTGGCAGAGATAGCCCCCGGGGTGACATGGGGATCTTCGTGAGGAGGGTTTTTCCCGGCGGGCAGGCTGACATTTCCAAATCGCTATTTCAAGGTAAACTCCATTTTTAAAAAACCATTTTCCACGCGTAATAACCGTACGCTAAATTGTAGTAATTTTTCATTAATATGCCAGACACACATTTATTGTGTGCTATAATTTTTGTTTAAGAATATCAAATTAATAGCAATTAAATGGTTGTATAATATTCAGTACATGCAGGACTATCTACTTTATAATTAGCGATATCGAGTCTGTCACTTTTGATACGGCGTAATATCGCTTCGTTTCACATATCGACGTACCGCAAATACTTTTCGCTCGAGAGTTATCAATCGCGAGGATAAGGGAAGGCACATGACGCCGCGTCGAACGCACGTTCGACGGACGGCCTCATGTATTCATGACGATGCGAGGATCCCGCCAGACAGCTGTCGAATCTTTAATCCGACAGCTAACGCCACATGCATATCTAAACAGTCGCGGCATGTTCTACCGTTTTTCTTCTGGTTCTTTTCTTTTCTTCTCTTTTTCTTTTTCCCCTTTTGCCGTCCTCGCTTTCTTTCATCGGAAGACGGCACGATACCTCGTGTCATTGATAGCGCCGGTATTAATGTATCGCTTCCTGATATCTTTATCGCATTAGAATGCTTCATGTATGAAATAATTACATATATGCGAACAGTCTTTTTTTTTAATATTTGATATTCTTTTATATCTATCACGAGTTATCGTCCTAACGAATATTGAGAAGGGTCGTTCCATGCTGGTCAGATATTCGCGGGAAGTTGACGTGCCGATAAGCAGGAAGGTTGTTAGACGCGTTTCGCGTTCTCATGTCTCGAATTTCAACCGAGCCCACCGCTTTTTACACCTGTATCGTGGTTTCCTCGTTGCCCACCATTCCTTACCGCATACTTGAGTAACGGGCTGGTAGCTGATCGGCTTGCATAAGCGCAGGAGATAGCATCCCACAAGAACATCCTCGTCATGAGGTCATTGGCAACTTCGAGGGTTACTTTTTGGTCGTTAAACTTTATCGAGATTATCAGAATGCTTTTGGAAAGAGGGCGATTCTGATAATTTGAAGCGGAAACTGCAAGAGCAGCATTTTTCCTCTTTAATTATTAAATTAGTAATGATTTCCAAAAAAATTGAAGATTCGAAGAAGTATATTTTCTTGACTTTCAGGTGATGAAATCTTGAGTCTAAACAGACAAATTTTGAAGGGCCGCACGCACCAAGAAGTCATTGAATTATTTAAGACGGTGAGAGAGGGTATAGTCGAATTAGAAGTTACAAGAAGACACAGGTAAAGCATTTATAAGTATCTATCAGTAAGGAAGTGCAAGCATTAATGAAATAATAAAATCATGACGTGGTTAATGAAATTATAATAACAACAATTGTTGCAGATATCCCAAAAGTACTATAAAAACTATTACTGCGCCGTACTAGACAATATGGACGAAGAAGAAACTGCCCACCGGAAGTGCTCTTTAGATTTAGGTCTAATCTATTATTGTTCACATGGAGAAAACGGCGTTTTAGAATTCTAGTCTATCAAAAGAAATCTATGACTTTTCTCTGACATTTATCTCTTACATAATTTATTTCGCGCGACATATCTCGTAATTGCCTGATAGATTAATAGTTTTTATTATTAATAGACTATTCGCGTATTATAATATTATGACTATTCTTAAGTCCATTACGTCCTTAACATTAAGATTTTATACAAATAACGTTACGACAAAGTAGAATCGATTACTATGCATTTTTTTTTAATCATAGAGGACAATAAAGAAAATGTTCTTCGCAGATACCGAACGGGGTACCGTATCCAGATTATTATTAATTAAATAATTGTTATTAAATAACTGTTTTATTTCTAATGAATTCTGAGAAAATGTACAGTATATACACGATTCGTATTTTACATAATTTGCCATGCTCTCTGCCTCTCTTTCAGCGGTCATTGCTTTCACGTATCTATCAGCAAAAGGTCTGCGCACGACTTGGCTTTCGATATTCTGAAACAGAAAAGCAAAAAATGAAATAAAAGGAATTTATAAATGATGATTCCAAATAAGTGATGTATAAATAAATAATTTTTATTTTTTTCTATAAAAGTTTCTAATAGCCATTTTAGTTTTAATCAAATATTGATTACAATAATTTGAATATTATCTCCAATTTTTGATACATCACATATGTTAATTAAATATTTCATTTAAATTAATACGCTAAAAGTGCGGCGGTATTAATTCATTAATTTGATTAAATGTTATATGAAATATTTAAGAATCACTTACTGTGATTCACGATTTTTCACACGTCTACATAGGTGCAAGGCAATCGGCCCACTTTTAATATTACGAAACAGTTGTACGGCTTCACGATGTGTCAAGTCGTGACAAACTTGGCCATTCACAGCCAAAATCTCATCTCCTGCACGCAAACGGCCATCTTCCGCGGCCTGTCCGCTAGGCAGTACCGACTTTATGAAGATACCTGTGACAAATTAACGAATATAGAATTTAGAAATAATTTAGAATTTATTATAATCTAAAACAGATCAGAAAATGTTTTTTTAGAATTTTTAAATGATTCATATCAGAACAACAAGATAAAATATTCTAATTACATGTATAATAAGAGATAATCCATATTTATAACTGATAATTGAAAAAAGTATACAGCGAAAATGTATTCGTATATACCAATGCTTCCTTTCGGGCTGTCTCTTCCGCCAACTATGGTAAATCCTAGAGACTTCTTCCCGGCGCCTTTTTCGAAAAGCACCGTAAGGAACGTAGATACTGTGTTCCTCGGTCTTCGGGGAAGAGTACAGAACTTCGAAACGCTCTGCGTGAATCCGTTATCCATGTTCGTCGCGAATTTTTCGGACGAAATCGATCTACTCGACTCGTCCTTCCTGTCTCGGTGACACCTGGTCTGATGCTTCCTGAAGTGATGCGATCCGGGTGAACTTTCGACGATCACTCCGTGGCCATCTTCCATGCTAACATTCTCGTAGTCCACGCTGCTCTCCTTCAACTTTTTCGCTTGCTGATCGACGCCCGAAAATCGTGAGACTACGATGTCAATGTCCCCAGGGCCGCTACCATTACCTAGAATCTTCTTAGCCTCCGCCATACTCAGACCACGTAATCTCTTCCCGTTGACAATCAGGATCTCGTCGCCGATCCTCAGTGTGCCCTCCTTATCGGCCAGTCCGTTCGGCACTACATGAGCCACCAAATAACCCGGACTGGACTCCGCGGTTTTTGCGATGAAGATACCAAGACATTGATCGGATGTCTCCTTAAGAAGCTTGACGACCATCGTCTCCGTTGTGTAGGCTCTACTCCTCACCACTTGTAAACCGGAACTGCGTTGTTTCTGTCTAGAATCCTCGTCCACGATACCTCTCTCTCTTTCCCGATCCGTATTATTTTCCACGATGGCTCGACTCGTTTGACGATCTATTAACGTACTGTTCGCGGCTTGACAGACACTCGAATACTCCTCGGTAAGAAGACTCATCCCGGAGTCCTTATCCTTGGTCTTGTCGTAGTACACGTCCAAACTCGCGAAAAGTCGCGCGGTTCCGTCGACGTCCGTGGCGGACGAGAAGGGTCTTCTGGGCGGAAGCTGAGGCGGCGATAGACAAGAGTCGTTGTGGCTACTGTTGTTCAGCGGTCCGGAAGCGCCGCTGCTACATCTGTCGTCTAGCAGGGAGCTGGTGGCGGAATCGTTGTCCAGAATTCCGGAGTCATTATCGTCCTGATCCTGTTCCTCGTACAGCGGATTCGTCCGGAGCTCTTCTAGACCCGGCAACGTGCCATAAGAGAAACTACGTAGTCTTCGCCTCTCGCGGTCCTTGCAGTCCTTTCTATAGATTTTCGCGATCAGCCTGTTCGTCGAGCTTTTGAGGTACCTGTCCTGCATCGCGCGGAATTTCGCCGCCAGGCAGCTGGATGGCGTAATGCTGTCGAATGTCGTTGCATCCTTTTTGAAAATATTCTCACCGGTAAGCCTAGGTATTCCTGTATCGACCATTGTTACTTGACCAATGGATTGACCAGCCTCGCGGTTCGCCTCGAGGAAGCCCCGATCGGTCCTCTCCCATCGGTAATTGTGAGGCATCGCGTCTTCCCGGACTGAATCCCCCTCTTGCGGCTGCCACTCGGGCTGCTTCCGAGGCGTCGTTGCTGCTTTTTGTACGACAACCTGCTCTGCGACTTGGCGCGTCTCTTCCTCTTCGCGTGGCCATTCCCCTCCTCCGTGATGTCCTTCAGGTCAGACTCGCAGACCGAGCGTCGGAGCTCGTTCCTGGTCAGACCGCGGTGCCTCAGCTCGCACATCGAACGGAACTGGACTCGTCCCACTTCCTCGTCATCGCCATCGTTCTCGCCCTCGTCGGAATCGCGATCCTTGAAGAAGCTCAGTCTGGTGCTCTTCACGCGATCCAGTAGAGGATTTCGCTTCTCGCACACTCTCCGTCGTTCTTCTTGAATCCTCTTTTTGTCCTTCTTGCTGGTAGTTCGCTCGGTCGTCACTTGGGAGGTTTGCACGTTGTAGCAGTTTCTCTCGGATTCGGAACTCGATGATTTTCTCCGGGCCCATCGCACTGGCGATATGTCTGAGAGATAAAGATGAAAGTATTAATAAATGTGCGCAGCAGGCAGTAGAATAGATGTATAAAGTTAGAAGATATATAGTTTATCCTTTGTAATGATATTATCACTTCTCTATTTTTCTACTTTATATAATTTTTATGTGCTTTGTATGTATTTTTTAAATTATAGCTTTATATTTTATAAAAATATATATAAGTATATTCTATAATAGAGCACCGTACAAAATTTTAGATGAATAATAGAACACAGTAAATTATGTATCCTCATTTTTTTCTACAGTCTGCTTATGAATAAGAATACAAGTCAGACCCGAACTCTACGACTTCTAACTCGAAAGTGACCACTTCCACTGCCAGTCGCGATGATATTGACACAACTGACAAATCTACATTCCATGAAATATGACGTTTTACAGGATATGCGTAAAACAGGATACTCTTATGAGCAATTTATTTGTACTACTGAAATATTCAGATAAGCTTAAGGACGCTATATAGCGACATGTCAACTTCTAATTAAGAAATAAAATTAATAATATAAATACTTTTTACATATATTAAGGCGATTTCTCATATTCATCAAATAAAAGTAAAAACCAAATTGTATCTTATTAGACAATATTAACAAAATATTTATTAATCAAAATAATTATAGGTATACCATAAGTATTAATATATTTTTTTCGTTCAAATAAAAGAGAAGAGTAAGAGATTTATAATATTCTTTTTTAATTTCAGAGTCCTATATAAGTTTACTAAAAATAAAATTTAATAAAATAAAATTAATTTCTTGCAATTAATAATAATCAATAATCAATAGAAGTATAAAATAGTTAATTACGTTTTTTCTTCTTTATTACGGAGAGTTCGAACACGACTCTGCGTGATAAAAACGGCAAATCTTGTAATACTAACAGATGTGAATGTAAGAACACGGACTTACGTGTCATAGTAAAATATATGTTGAAAGCTACACACTGATACTAATTTATTTCCTAGTACTACAAGTCGTAGTTTTACGGAACAAGACCCTGACAGCAATCGAGATAATGCAACCAGTAACGACAGTTGCTATCGCGACTAGACTCTTCGGTCTTCAAGGTAAGCTTGCGGGATTTACTCATTTTAAATTAGTCCGTCATCATGCACTGCAAACCGTCAAATCATTTGCTCAACTATCCTTGACAAGTAAGAAGTAAGCAAACTCTGAAATAAGGCTCGATTTGTCTTCGTATCTGTCGAGCCGAATAAAACCGAAAACAGCCGGTGAGTAATTTTGTGTGTACGTTATCATGTGGAATGCGTAAACCGGATACTATAAAAATAGATTGGACAGTCGAGTAATACTTTATCGTTCTTTAAGTCATATCCGACGTCGAAACCACGACAATTTTACCTCACATAAAAGTTCTCAGAAGCGGACTGTGTTTCCTAACAAGCAATGTTTCATAATTATGTGGTTAAATAATTGTATCTTTATCCGCATTACTAACTGCCTCTTATACTTTTTATACTTTATGAACGTGAGAAAAAGATTAACTTTCTAGATCTTTAAATATTTCGCATACTATAATAGACAAAAGATTGCTAAATTTATTTTTGCATTTCAATAAAATACGAAGCTGTCATATTTAATTTTTCTAAAAGTAACGAAATGAAGGCAGAACAACTCGATTCTTTTACAATGATATAGCACAATGAACTATGTATATAAGTATAGATGGTATCGTACTGGAAGGTGAATTTTTTAATTAAAGACTCACGGGCTTGTTTTCTGACTACCGTTTTAATTAGCGGTTGCTATAATTAGCTGAACAATCCATTGCGGATTGTCATTGCCGGCGCCGTTACTGTCAATTGCGTCGCACGGCCCTACAGGACGCGTATACGATTACGCACGAGGGGGTAACCACTAGCTGAAATATGGTCCCATAGATTACATGATTTCATATGATTTCACCTGATTACAAATAACTTTTTTCACTACATATAAAGTAATTTGATAAAATATACGATGTTATTTAATATTATACAATGATTCCTCGTGGTTGCATATGTAATTATCGGATTACATAGAGATTTCATATGAATTTTATAATGATTTCGAGGATTCTGTCCCACGATTATATCAAGTGGTTACCCCCTCGGTCACGCATGGTCTACGGATTGCGCGTCCTCGACAATGATCCTTTATATTAACGTGCAGTCGCGTAGGCCGGCGTAGTGTCAATTTGCTTCTATTCTCGTTTTCCAGCCAGTCACTCGGGGACTCAGCTTGACGGAACGTTGAGTCGTAATCCCTGCATTCAGGATGAAATCCTGATTCAAGTATCTCCACATACACGGCGGGGCGGCACGCAAAGACGCGTGTACGCGCTGCACGCAAGACGATACGGCATTTTTACGGGAATTAGACCGATTCTCTCGGCAACGAGGATAAACGGAGAATCACGGCTGTCGCGTATCACCGAGCGTACTTTACTCTTCCTACAGTGACTAGCTAGATGATCGCGCCGCCATTTCAGGCAACTTTTACCTCTGCATCGAGACCTTGCACGGAGATGGTAGGACGTTTCGTTGACGTCTTCGTCGGCTCGAAGAGGACTTAGGCGCAGAAGTCTCGGTGCCTCGGCGTGGCCGCGAAACCAACGCATGTCTGTAACAAATTGGAAAGTAGTCAGAGCGTGATTTTTGTACGTGAAAGCATTCGATGAATATTTCAGTGGCATGCTTGTAATTCTTTCGGCGTTCGTCAAGCAGAAACTCCTACAGTTAAACTTTAATTTTTGGAATGAAAGAATCTTCTGGCAAACACCGCTAGAGAATGAATATTAAAACTAGGCTCGCTATAGAAATATTCCGTACATTTATTATTCTGACATTCCAGTAAACAGAAAGCGTCCCTATTTATCACGATTTCAAACGATGCATTGATACACAGTGAAGATTAACTGCATAAAAGTGAAACGGTAGAGCTTAAGAAGTGAATGGAATTTACTGGATGTCGATGGCGACAATCACCGTTGAATTCAAGCTATCTCTTTTCACTTCGTTATTGCACTTGTTGCGATCTAATAACGAGATAGAGAAAATTACACGTGATGATTCTATTGATGTACATATGAAAGGAATGCTGATAAATTTAACAGATAGCGAAATCATATTTCTCTATTAATTCCGGACGAACTCTAATAAAATTTTAATTTGAGATTTAATTACAAAGATAATGTTAAAAATGAAAAATTTGTGTAAAACCTTTCTCAAAAATTTGTTAAGGAAAAATATACTTCAACTTGAATAAAAGAATCTCTCGATCAAAATCACTAGTTGTAGGATAGCTTGCAAACCGTCAAATTATATAATATAATTAAACAATGAATACATTATATACATTTAATTTAATATTTTAAACGTAAATATAAAATAATCGCAAAAGAGAAATAATAAAACATATATATTCCATGTCTTTGTTTGAAATAATTTTCACAGAAGAGAAGAATATTACATTGTAAAGCAGATTTTATTAAAATATATATTGCTTTTATCTGCATTGTGAATAAAGCATAAAATTTTTACAAAAAAATGATCATTACATTATTTTTTATTTATTATTATTCTTATAAAGGAATGCGAAATATTAGTACTTTTCTTCAGTCACTGTATGTACGTATGACATTCAATATCGATGCTAGATTTATGCCTATACGTTCGAACGAAGTGGTACGTGAGTATCCAGCATCACCACCGCTTCTCGCAACGGTACTTCCAAGACAAGGAGGCCGCATCATCTACGTCGTCTAGCTCACAACTTTTCATGCCCGCGGCACTATGTGATACGCATATTTTAACTTAAAGATTTTCTAAATAATTTGCTGCCCTTTCGCGGTACTAAAGAAAGAAATCTTATACACGTCGAACGATAAGAAATGAAAAAAAAATACAAGTGTGAAATTTAATTCTTTCTTGGTCTTCATTATTTTCTTTATATTCGCGTGGTAATAAATTTTTATCCGCGCAAGATAAGGATGATAGTTTTATCCTCGAGATAAGGGCGATATTTTGTGTTTTCCAGGGGCGTTTATTCAAGTCCTCGTACAAATGGCGTTCGTGCAAATTTTTTCGAGTTTATGGACCTTTCTACCTTCCAGGAATGTCGGCGACCGGAATTGCCGAGTGCATTAAATTCCATGCCAACTGCACGTGTACAGTTGAAGAAAGATTCTTAGAAGTTTGCTTCTCAGGGGATTTTACATGTATTTTATATTAAATATTGCGCTGTACTTTATTGCGGTACACCGATCAATACATGTAATCGAGAGGATTGGCGGAATAAAAGTACAATTCTACTTAAGGGGATATGCCTAAGTAAAAGCCTTAAAAAAGGCTTTTTTTGTCAATTTTTTTTTAAATAACTATAAGTTTTAGAAAAAATATGAATTGATGTATCAATTGGGCACATTTTGAAGATATTTTAAGAATTTTTATATGTCGAAATATAAATATATGACGTTGCTCAACATTGTAGACTTCCGTGTTCAAAAAACATGGTCCATCGGTTATGTAGAGAACTCAAGTTGTAATTATCTGAAATAAAATTTGTTTGAAAATTTCAAATCTGTATGAGTGTAGTTTCAGTTAAGCGTAGCGGATTTTTTTAAATAATTTTTTTTTAGAAAATGACAACGGTTAAAAAAAATTTTTATTTCACATTTGAACTTCTTAAACATGTGGCCCCATGAAAACTATTAAAACAATTAAAAAAAAAATCCCTACGCTTAACTGAAACTATACATGAATTTTGTGAAGCTACTGTTCAAAGCTGAGCCCAATTGGTCGAAAATTTTTCGAGTTATAGACACAGCCAGTTGAAAAAAAACATTTTTGAGAAAAACACGTTTAAAGTTTCAGTATTGCATATTCAGCATTGAGCGCTTGTTCCCTAAAACTCACATAACTCGAGAAATACTTCGAATTTTATAAAAACCTTTTAGAAGTATATTTTTAAGACATCAATCTTTCGGAAAAAAAAAAAATTTTTTTACGATTTTTTGAAAATTTTACTTAGGCTTACCCCCTTAAGTTCTTTTTCTTGAGATTAGCGCAAATAAACAAGAAATTGATATTGCTTACATTAGTTAAATATGAACGTGTTTCGATTGTCCTGCGATTATAAAAATGATATAAATCTATGAAAAAAGGGCATAAATGATTTTAAAATTATTAATGAGACTTTTACTAGAGATTGAACGAAAATGATACGACAATAATATGTTTTCATTACAACATATTTATGTTAAAAAATCTTTACGAAAACTCATTAGATGATGATTGAACATTATTTCAATTTATTTCGTATAAGTAAAAGTAAAATGTATTTCATATTCATTTTGTATTTTTTAAATTGCAAATAACTTTTTAAATATTGGTCATAATAGAGAAATATTATAACTTCTCAAAGACATTATATAAATATACATTTAATACTGTTCCCATTTGTGGTATAATAAAAAAGTAACAAGTTATATTAATTTTTATCAAAAAAAGATTTTGTAATTAGGTCTTTATTCCGCCCATCCTCTCAATTACGCTAGATGCAATTATTATGTTATAATATCATGCTAATTATTATATTTATTAGTTTGCGAATCGGATTGATTTTGAGGGAAGCGGTACTTTATAACATGATTTTATTATCTGCAGCTGGACCGATAAAGAAATTAATCCGTTTATACCGTTTCTAGCAGCCGAACGGTAATTCGTTCACCTTCTTCCCCAATAAATGCATTGGATAGAATATTTGTAAGAGGTAATACCGTTTGTCTGACCCCCATAGCATTCGTAATATTTTTCTTACTAATCGGCAAACAGGATATAATTACAAATACTGTAAATGTGAGATATTTTATTACACTGAGAAAAAGATACCTAAAAATTAATTGTGACAAATATATTTATTTTGCTGAAATAAATCTGTATTTAATTAAATAAGGCAAAATAAAATTTTATTCCTGGCAAATAAGCTATCTATTTTATTTTTTTACAGTTAATAAGATATGTTTTACAGAAATGTATATTTTTCGTCATCACAATCAAATCTTTCATAACTAATAAATATCGAAAAAAACATCATAACATTTGCTTCGCAATACTTCGACATTTTTCTCTCAGTGTATTGCCGAAACGAGTTTGTTTGAGAATAGAGAAATGCATGCTTAATGAAATGATGAAATTACGTAAACAAAATAATATCACATGAACAAAAATGTTGATAACGAACACAACTGGAAAACACTTATCTAATTACGTGTACAAAATATATGAAAAGACATTCTCTACAATAAGTGAATATTTATGTCGAATTTGTTGCATAACGATGAAGCGAGAATATGCGTTTCGACAGATTAATCTCATACACGGTATTTCAAATTAATTATATTTTCATTTAATTGCTAATCTTGTGTGTGTGATCTTGAATTAATTTTTTCTTCACGTAAATTTAGTATATTGTTATATCATATTTAAAAAATTTTTTATTCAAGACAATAATTAAATTCAAAATTTAAATACTAAACGGGCTCTCGAAATTAAAAAAACAATATAATATACGGACAATGAGAGCGGTAACACAGAGCGGGAATTGGTGCGTAATTTATATGATAGTCAAATAATATTCACATAATATATTAAAATTGCACATTTATTAAATTGTAAATATTATTTGACTATTATATAAATTGCGCACCAATTCCCACGCTGTGTTTAACGCTCTCATTGTCCGTATATTATATTATTGTTTTTTACAATAATTAAACTTTAAAGATATTAAATTTAAAAATGTTTGTGAAGAAAATAGCTTTATTAGCAGTTCGAAAAAGTATCTATTATAGTTTAAGACTAGGTTTTTATTTTTCCTATTTGCTTTGATAGCTCAAAAAATATTAATGTCTCAGCATTCGTAAAAAAATGAAATTGAAGATGGTCAGAAAATTGACAATCTCGAAAGAAAATACCATTTCTACATATCTTGCATTTTTTGAAACTTGCATTATGTCTTTATCTAATCACATACAATGTATAATGTTGGGTTAAGTCGTGCGACTCTAGATATCTTTTGGATTATACATTTCACAACTTTATTTCTGTTTCGCGCAATATGCTATCTGGTGCACAAGCATAGATAATCGATTGGCATCCAGAAAAATACCAGCTGCGCATTGGCCAATAAATGTACTATAATCTTACCGTTACGAGACACATAAAACGAAATGGCTCGATTTAAAAATATTCGATATGAAGTTCTTAATAAAATGCGTAGATTATTTCAATATATAATAATTAATTTTAATATATTTTTAATTATTTATTATGTGTTAAATTACAAATTAATCAAAATATGATTTTAAAACTAAGAAAAGCATGTTATTTGCAATTTTTATTGCAAATTGAAAAAGAGAAAGTTAGATTAATATATTTTACAGTTATAATAATAATAATTGTTATTTTACTATGTATATATAAAAATAATAATTACTCACTGAAAAAAAAGATTGGCTGCTGCAGCCAATTAAAAATGCTATGCCATATTTTACCATTTAATTTTTTTTCAGTGTATATATAAAAATTACACGCGGAATAATATTATAATTAAGAAATATATATATCTATGATATATATTATGATTTAATGTTAAAATATTTAGTTATTACAAGAAAGATAGAAGTCCGTTTGA